AGCACAAAAGCCAGTCTATGAAAGTAACATGAAAACAGGGCCTCACTCTTTTGTTTACCCTTCTGCAAATATTTGCTTAGGAGCAATAAGAGTTAATTGTCAAACTTTGCAATGCAGTCAGAGATTTTCTCATAAAATGTATAACAGACCCTGCCCAGATGGCAAATGTTGATATGTAAATCTAAAACATGAAAATTTCCATTGGGGGCCAGATGGTGGCTTAATGTGAATTGTTTAACATTTATGTTTCTCTTATTAAAAGTGCCTTTATATGTCCAAACTAAGCTATCAATGTGGTTGGAAGAGAATATCACTAAATGAACAGAAAAATCAAACCATCAGTACAAGGCACCTCCTGCTTACGTGGATCAGGGGAAAGCAAAGCATGTTGTCTGTTGTGAGTTCTTTGTCTGTCTGCAAAATTCTGAAGAAAATATTATAACCGAAACCAAATTGCTGTTTGCTTGGGGAAATACTAGAGCCAGTTAAAAACTTTGAAGAGTAATGCACACGTTAAGTGCCATAATGTATTTCCCCCCAACGTAGGCGTTGGTGTTCAGTGGGAAAGAGCTGGGCTCTAGGCGAGGGGAAGCACTGTAGGTGGCTGCAATCCCCTTGGGGCTCAGGCCCTTCCTCCTGGCTCTTCCTGCACTGCCTCTTGGCTCTGCCAAAACCATCGTGTCCTCTGATGCAATCCAAGAAGTTGCACAGCCGAGGAAGGAACAAACAGGCACTTGTTTGTCACATGAGGCTGATGCCTCTACAGTAACTGTGGCTGATAATAAGGGAGGTGGTTAGCAATGGCTCTGGGGGACTGCAACAAGTCCTGGGGCAGATGAATCTTTCACAGGACTCAGTGCATGTGTTCTGGTTTGGATGCCAACCTGTGCTCACTTGTCCCTCCAAATGAATCTTTCTGGGACTAGCATCTAATCATAAAACCATAAAATGTTAGGGGTTCAAATGGCCCTTACAGATCATCTAGTCCCAACCACCTGCCCTGGGCAGGGACACCTCCCACCAGACCAGGTTGCTCAAGGCTTTAGCCAGCCTGGCTTTGAACACTGCCAGGGTTGGGGCAACCTGTTTCAGTGTCTCACCACCCTCACAGGAAAAAACTTCTTCCTAGCATCTAACTTAAAATACTGCCTGGGATTTCACTGCTCTAACAAAAGGAAAACAGTACTTATAATTAATATGCTATTTTGACCAGCTGCGTTATCACTATTTTCTCTGTCTCTTTTTTAAAAATAATATCATAGTAACCCATCTTGAGGCATCCAAAAATCAGCAGGCAGCTGTTGCACAGGCAAGAGGGAAAATACCTTTTAATACCTTTTGTTTAAACACTCTGGACATCAAACACACAGTTTTGGGATGCTCTCATGGTAGAAGGGGAAAAATGCTTCAGTGCTAAACCTGAAATAGAGCGCCTGCCTCTGTGTGTGGATATCGCTGTATATGTGTGTGATGGTGTTCAAAAAGGCAGAGAGGAAGGCTGTGGGGAGGCTGAAGGAACAAAGTTGCAAAATATTTGCTAGACTACAAGTTCGGGGTTTTTTAAGAGTTCTTTGCCATCACCTCGTGCTGGTGGTTGTGATTCACTCCTTAGTGAATCACTGGTCAGTGTTGACTCCATTAACTTTGACCTGAGGCTTTGGACTGATGCCCAGAATATTTTTTTTTCTTGAAGAGGGCAGTATTACTAGTCATTGGCTGATATTATGGATAAGTGTTCAATGGCAGGTTAATATTTAAATCAGTGTGTTGTTTGATACTACGTATCAGCATGTGACCAGAAGAACACTTCCTCCATGTTAGCCCATTTATGTTAGTCAAAGTTAAGTCTAATATTGCTGTATTTATGTAGAACCTTTCAAGTTGAAAATAGGAGGGCTCCTTTCCAATTACATGGTGATGATTAAAAAACTCTAACAGTCCACCCTTTTTGGTTTTAAGCGCCACAAACAAAATAAGATCAAAGAAGTTGCTCCCTCAGGGTGGAGCATGACACTGTTTGGCAGAGTTCAGCCCTTTGCCAGAGATAAGACACTGGCCTAAATATGGTCCCTTGAAAAATGGTGACAGGAGCCAATCAATGCTATCATATTTGTCAAACAACAGCTCAGGATACTGAAAATCCTGATAACCATGCAAGCATATTGAATCAAAAAAGAATCTTGCCGAATTGACTGCTGCACACAGACAGAGGCAGTGGCGTACAGCTACAGCATTTTCTCTGGCCAGCTAGTGTCTTTTGGAGAGATCTCATCCCACAAATGAGACAGGACCCAAAGCTACTTACTCTGATACTGAATATTGCTAGTGGTGTGGCTGAAAGATGTAATAGCTGTGCCTGAAGTTTTTACACTAAGGCTGTTTGGAGTTTTTTTTCCTATGAAAAACATGTTTTGCCTTCTGTGGCTCTTTTTTTATAATTCACTTTTGGTTTTTGTGATTTAAACTGAAAATGAGCACCAGTTCTGATATTTTTGTGCTGCAGTCTGTTGCAACTCGTGGAGGAAAACAGCTCTGTTAATTCACAGCTTTGTGCATTACATACACACACACACGCATAATCTTTTCAGTCACGTTTTTAGTGGTGCTTTGTAAATGAATAATTCAGAAGTGAGCCCTAAAATCCAGATCCTGCAGTTTTATCCAGAACATATTGCAAATGCTCAGAGACTAGGAAACAGTTTTGGATCTGCTGCAGAAGGAGACAGTGAGCAGCTGGTAAACTACTGGCCTTTAATGAAGCTATACCATATTGCAGTATCTCCAATTACTACAGAGCTTAATTAGTTCGGTTTACCCTGCCAATCTGGAAAGACCAAACATTGTCTTGGGCAGCCACTATAATTATTTCAGCTTCTTCATTGCTGGCCATTAAAGCTGGGTTTGGTCTCTCCCAGCAAGGTATATTAAGTATGTTTTAGATTTGTGACTGCCTGCATTGTGTTACACACATATTTTATGTAACTACACAATTTTAGTAGCAAGTAATTTTTGTAATTATTAGTGGAAGTCATTCATGCCATGTATAAACATCAGTGTTAATGGTCCAGAATTCTTAATAAAGAAATGAGAACACTGAAATGGTGTGTTCAAATGTGGACTTGATCTAAAGCTTTTAGCCATAACTGTTGTACAGACGTGATCCTTTTGAATGGCAGCAGGAGTTGGCATTCAGGTTACTTTGCTTCTTTATTTGAAAATAGCCTTTAGAGATGAGGGAATCATAGAACCATAGAACTTTAGGGGTTGGAATGGACCTTACAGATCAGCTAGTCCCAACCCCCTGCCATGGGCAGGGACACCTCCCACCAGACCAGGTTGCTCAAGGCCTCATCCAGCCTGGCCTTGAACACTGCCAGGGTTGGGGCAGCCACTACTTCCCTGGGCAACCTGTGCCAGTGTCTCACCACCCTCACAGGAAAAACGCTTTTTCCTAATATCTAGCCTGAATTTCCCCTCCTTCAATTTGAACCCATTACCCCTTGTCCTATCATTGTATTTCTTCACACAGAGTCACTTTCTGGCTCCCCTGGAGCCCCTTCAGATACTGAGAGGCTGCTATGAGGTCTCCACACAACCTTCTCACCTCCAGGCTGGACAGCCCCAACTTCCTCAGCCTGTCTTGCTAGGGGAGATGCTCCAGTCTTCTTACCAACTTCATAGCCTCCTCTTTACGTTGAGGACACCAGAACTGCATGCAGTAATGTTTTAATTTGTTGGCAAAAAACAATTATATCTTGGATGTAGAGCTGCTAACCGAATCAGGAAGGTTCTGTTCAAATGCAGTGCAGTGTTTAGTGTGTTATTTGTTGTGTGCTAGTCTGAGGAGGATGCCTCAAAGGGTAATTTTAAGCATAATGAAATGTGATGTTAAATCAAAACTTCCAGGCATTTATTCATCTGAGAAATGTGACTACTAGGTATTAAAATTCTGTATCAGCAGACATAGAAATTGGTAAGTTTTGAGTGTTAGGTTTTCTTCACAGAAGAAAATAGTCCAGATTTCAGCCTTTAGAAATACTGAATATTTGAACAGTATAAAACTATCTCAAACAATCCATAACCCCCTTGCAGCTCCTGCCCAAATCCTTTGTGATAAATCAAAAGTAACTGTAGCCAAAGCAAGTAATATTAACTGATATTTTCCCTAAATAGCAGAGTTTGTCTTCTCAAACACTACAGGTGCAAGGGGTAGCTGATGTCCAAGGAATTTAGGTCACTGTTAGATGTCTGATAATGATAATGGGCTCTGTGATGAGCTACAGGCCAATTGATAACAATGTTGGAGACTTTTTGAGCACTCTCTATACTCAGCTGTTCCAAACCAACTGCATTTAGAACATTAACTTAAGACTAGGCTTTATAATTGTGCTTAGTGCTACAGTGATGTTATGTCACTTGATGTCTTTGAAACCATGTTACCCTCTAACTCTGAAGCTCTGTTCTGCTGATCTTTAAGATTAATACCAGTATGGAACATAAATATTTTAAAATGCATTTTTCAATATGCCTGTTGTAGTTACTTCAAAGAGCCTCCATCATGTTTTCAGTCAGCTTTTACAGATTTATAAGATCATGTGGGAAAAAAATTACATGGTGAAACTTCAATTTCTCTTCTTTTGTCCTAAAAACTACTTTCTTAATGTAACACAGTTCATTCTATAGCTTCATGTTTTCTATGAGATAAGTTTAAAAAGAACATATTTATCCTCTGGTTAGTTCATGTAGTACCTTACCAGTTGTAGTAAGTTCTTAGTTTCTATGAGCCTGTGTGTGGGCCACAGAAACCAAACCTTTAGTCCACACATTTCAGAAGGGTCATAGAGCCATATTTCAGTTCTCTAATTTTGTAGGATTAAGAGAATAAGCCTCAGTTACATGAGTCTACCTGTTTGACAGAGAGATTAAAAGCTTTGCTATTGTTCTGAACTAGTTCTGGCAGGGAGGGCACTTGCTTAAAAAAAGATTTTTTGTTCTAGGACATGAACTTGATCGACATCCTTTGGAGGCAAGATATAGACCTCGGGGCAAGACGTGAAGTTTTTGATTTTAGTCAACGACAGAAGGAGTATGAACTCGAGAAACAGAAGAAACTTGAAAAGGAAAGACAAGAGCAGCTCCAAAAAGAGCAGGAGAAAGCCTTGCTGGCTCAGCTGGAGTTAGACGAAGAGACAGGTGAATTTGTTCCTGTGCAGCCAGCTCAGAGCAGTCAGTCAGAAAATACTGAGCCACCAGTTGTTTTTTCACAGGTAAATTCCAATACATGTTTGAGAGTGTGTTTAAACCTTTTTCCATTCACAGAAGGCATAATGCTAGTGGCTGCCTAAAATAAATTTGCATGCATTGCTGTAATGGAAGATTCTTCAGTTATTCAAAGATGCAGTAACCTTTTTTTCATAACTTTCCTATTTAGACCACAGAGCCTTCAAAACCAGAAGCAGAGGCCTTGTCGTTTGAGGACTGCATGCAGCTCTTGGCAGAAGCATTCCCATTTGTAGATGAGAATGAGGTAAAAATGCTCAATACAGCAGTTTCACGGGTGGTTTTCTAGGGGGTCGGTCTCATGTCTTCTCTGCCTAAGATTTGCCTTCAGCATAATACTAATTTGTGATCTAATTTTTTCTCCTCCAGCTAGAATAAAGCAGTGTGGTAGGCTTGAAGTAAGGCTGTGTTTGGAGGGAATGGAGTGGTTGGTACTGTTGTGTTCCTTCTACATCCCAAGCCCTGCAGCTTGGATTCGGTGTGTGAGGGCAGCCCTGCCAGGTACCACACAGAGTCATGGGCTGTTCTCTTAGTGACAGTGAGTTTAGCATAGCTCTCTGGATTAGTGCCTTGGAGTTGCTTCATTTCCATCTGCTGACCCAGACTGTGTGATGTATGAGGATAAGCCCATCAGCCAGTCCCTAGATTTTTTTTTTCCTGTTTCTTTCTTTATTCCCATGAAAGGTGTTGTCATATTATTTTTATATTGTCCCATTGCTTACCAAAAAAGCTGTTGTTAAGAAATACCTGTCTGTTTGTTCTGCTGAAATGGCAGAAGTCTAAAAACCGTATTTTTTTGTTTTGGAAAATGCAAATATGGTTGGGGTTTTTTGAGTGGTTTTATGTTTGAGTGGTTTTATGTGGGTCTTCTGTTATTGATTTCTTTGGCATTTTAATATTTTTTTTTAAACACTTCAGGTTTCTTCAGATGCATTTCAGTCACTGGTTCCTGCTCAGATCAATAGCAACTCAGCCTTCGTTTCCTCTGATCAAAGTCAGCCACCTGATCTAGTTCCACCTACTGAGACAGAGAATATGCAGAACATAGAGCAAGTTTGGGAAGAATTATTGTCCCTTCCAGAGTTACAGGTTAGTACAAAAAGCGCCTGGAAAACAAAGCATGTCATTATGTTTTGGAGAAGGCAGTACAATAGCATCTGAACAGATGGTGATTATGACTGCTGTGTTGGATTCTATACCTGTAGGGTGCCTACAACTCAATATAAGCTTTAAATTTTTTCAGAAAGAATATATTGAAAAAAACACGTAGGAAGGAGGAAATGAGTTCTTTATCAGAAGGCCTCAACAAAACACAATCTAACTTCTCATTCAGAACTTCCTTATGTTTATCAAGTCATTGTTTGCCTCTGTGTGCAACTTGTTACAGCATGATCATGGTTAAAATTTCAGCAGCTTAAAAACAGACACTTCTTGCATGGTGGAATGCCCATAAATTCAATCCATATTTAAAAAAGATAAAGTAAAAATTTGCAGGAACTGGATTTTTCCTGCCACTCTACCTTCTGCCTTTGTCTTTTTATATTTGTCAGTTTATTTTCTTGTTTTCTCACTGTATCACTGTGGTAGGCTCAAAAGCCCCACATAGTAACAAGGGCAATTGGCTGTGAAGAGGCAGCAGTGATGGTGAAAATACATTAAGAAACCAAAACAAAATAATCTATTGCAGTAATTCTGAACATTCAGAAAGTTCTGAATCGAATTCAGAAAGTTCTGCATTGAAGAACTTTCTGGGGAAAAAAAGTGAGATAATTAAATTGAGGTCATTGCCTTTTACAGATTATTTAAAGACAGGGAAAAATAGAGCTCTCCAGGTCAAAATCTTAGCTTAAGCCTTGAATTATCTCTGGTTAAATGAGGAGTGTGTGGACCCTTCTTTAAAAGAAACAGTAATTTTGGTAATTGTCTAATTCCTTAGGGACAATGGGTCCTCTTATTTCAGCTTCAGTCAAGAAACTGCCAGAACATTGGTGTTGTAGCCAGTGAAAGCCCATCAGTGGAATAGACTGATGTTCACACTGGTGTTAGCTTAACTGAAAGTGCGTGGGGCAAGTTAGTGTTTGCCAGGATTCACCTTACTACTCTTCTTACCTCAGCAAGAATTATATTTCTCTGCACTGAAGAGCTGTTTCATTCAGTAAATCTTAAAAGAATCTTAGTTTTCAGGAAACATACCATGAAATTAAGAATGCTGAGAGTAATTGTTTGCTAGTAGTGCTCATTAAGTCTCATTCAGGAACTTTACTGTACTCGTGCCATTCCCTAGGAGTGGTGCTCCTGAGAAGTTCAAACCTGGCACCTCCAGGATCCCCACTAGCAGTTACCAGAATAGGAGGGCTTCAGTAAAGCACTGGAATGTGTCTCTTCAGCATCTTGCTCTGAGTTTGAGAGGCTCTACTCTCTTAATGTACATAGCTTTGTCCAGAACAACTTTCTTTGTACTCTTGCCTAGATATCTGCAGCCTTCCCAGATTGCCTCTCCAGAGTGAAAGGTGTGCTGTAGTCATCTAGATTACAGCAATGTTGTCATACCCCTTTTATGTGCATGTCGATTGCTAAAATATTGAATGTTTGTGAGTTAGAATGAGCAATTTTATCAGTTTTGTCAGATGTGTTGCTCAACTTCTCCCTTGCATTTCCCATCTAGTGTCTTAACATCGAAAATGATAACCTGGCTGAGGTAAGCACAATCACAAGCCCTGAAGCCAAACCAACAGAGATGCACAACAGATATAATTACTGCAGCTCATTACCAACAATGAAAAAAGATGTTAACTGCAGTCCAGATTTCCTGGGTAGTATTGAGGGCCCCTTCTCAGGCATTTTGCCATCAGAAGACACCAGCCATCTGAGTGTGAACTCTTTAAATGACACATCCCCTTCAAACTCTGATTTCTGTGAGGAGTTCTATACCACCTTTATTGATACAAAGGCGAACGGTGACGCAGCAACGACAAACACTATCACTCAATCCCTCACAGAGATTCTAAGTGAACCTATTGATCTTTCTGACTTCTCACTGTGTAAAGCTTTTAATGGCAATCACTCAGGGACTGTACCAGAATGTAATGATTCTGACTCTGGTATTTCATTGAACGCAAGTTCTAGCGTAGCATCACCTGAACACTCTGTGGAATCATGTGCCTATGGAGATAAGACTTTGGGTTGTAGTGATTCTGAAATGGAAGACGTGGATAGCGCTCCTGGAAGTGTGTCACAGAGCAATGCTAGTGTGTACTCTTTGCAATTCCAGGATCCAGTGCTTTCTTCCATGGGGCCAAACACTCAAACACCAAGTTTACCGTGTACAAACACAGTAAAGAAGGAACCCCCTGCTGCTCCTGGCCATCCCAAACCTCCCTTCACTAAAGATAAGTCTTCAAGCCGCCTTGAAGCTCATCTCACAAGAGATGAGCAAAGAGCGAAAGCTCTGCAGATCCCTTTTCCTGTTGAAACAATCATCAATCTCCCTGTTGACGACTTCAATGAAATGATGTCTAAGGAGCAGTTCAATGAAGCGCAGCTCACGCTGATTCGCGACATACGCAGGAGAGGCAAGAACAAAGTGGCAGCTCAAAACTGCCGTAAAAGGAAACTGGAAAACATAGTGGAACTGAAGCAAGACTTGAGTGACCTCAAAGATGAGAAAGAGAAATTGCTTAAGGAAAAAGGAGAGCATGACAGAAGCCTTCGTCAAATGAAAAAGCAACTAACCACCTTATACCTCGAGGTCTTCAGCATGCTACGGGATGAGGATGGGAAGCCTTACTCTCCTAGCGATTATTCACTGCAGCAAACTACAGATGGCAATGTCTTTCTTGTTCCTAAGAGCAAGAAGTCAGAGACTAAACTTTGAGGGGCAGTACAGCTAGGTGCTGTTCTCCAAGTTCCTATTTTTGTATCATTATCCTGATAGGTTTTACTGTGAGGTGATTTTTCAAGTATGTCTATGCAATGATAATTTTCAAGTTGTTGGTTAATTAGTTTACGGAAGATGCAAGTTGCAAATTACTAGCGTAATGCAGATGGAGGTATGCAAAATTTGTAATCTCACTTTTATAACAGACATTTCCTTCTTATAGCACCACTTTGACTAGTTTCCCTATATATGTAAATATTTAAAGATGCCGTATTTATATACTGTTCCTATCTATTGTTATATTCATAGATTTATTTGATATCTATATATAAAATTATTTTAGCCTTCTAAATATAATTTCTTGCAAGACAAACAGGATGGCTTCTGATATTTTTATAAATATGCAAGTGTTTCCCATTTTTCTTACACATTTATACTTGATTTATATTTAATGTGATTTTAATTTAGTATAAAAGTTGACAGTGTTTGATTTCTGCTTATCATTTCATTAAACCTTTTGAACTCTACTTCACATACATTTATTTCCCTAAAGAGGATAAATCCTTGTGAGTTTTCCAAGACTTAAGTCTTCATGTGACAGATGCATAACAAGCAGAGCTGTATGGCATGGCCTTGTCAGCATTACTAATGCTTTGTCCAGCACAATCTTAACTGCCATTTGGAGAGATCTGTAACACAAAGTTTCAAGTCTCTGCTAAGTTTACATTACGTAAGTTCTTTGAACACTACTTAAATTAACGAGATCTTTCCTCCAAAGACGCTGAAAATCTTAATTAAGACATTGTCAGCATTATGCTTTTTTCCAACTAAAGTTTCTGTACACTCGAGTAATTCTTCTAGAGACTCATCTGTCTCTGATGTTTATCAATGGACAGCACTTGTCACTGCTGTTACTTTGGTGCTTATGGAAAACAGCATAGTAATTGGCAAGCCAATTGCACTGTTTGGAACCTGTGCTCAATGAATTGAAAAGTGTTGTAGTTTAAATTATAAAAGAATAAAAATTGGGTAAATAAAAAATAGCATTGTTTTGTTCACTCTTCCAAGGGAGTCATTGCAATTTTTTTCAGTACAGAAAATGCATTATTTGTAAGACACAGAAATCTGAACATTGAAATCTCTCTTCTTCCCCATGAATCTTCTAAAAGACTTGTTTAATCCAAAATGTTTTTTTCCCACCACTATATAATTTTAGGAATGTTTTGCCTTTTGCAGTATTCTACAGGACTTCATTTAAGTATCATAAGCACCAAGTTGTTTTGCAAGACCTTATGGTACATCTTTTGAAAAGAAGAGAGATGCTGAGAAATGATAGAGTAGGACCCACACAGAGTGTGCAATGCTACTACTGGAAAAAGGGTTCAAAGAGGGACAGCAGATTAGGAATCCAGCCTTGCATTAGCTCATTATCCACAAAGTTAAGAGTTATGCTAAGTAAAACGATAGTTTCTGCTGCATTCAGGTTTGAGATTATTTCCCAAAGTTTTAAACTGTGCTGGACTTGCATATGTAGCAGGAAAACATCTCATGCCTGACATTGAAAGCTAAAGGAACAATTTTAGATTATCCTAATTCCACACCGTATTGCTTTTTACGAACCTTCTGAATGTCCTCAAAAAACACTGCAACTAGGAAGTACAGAAAGCCACAGTTCTGCTGAGTATTACTTTGTCACAGGATACTGGGGAAGGTCTCCTGTTTCCAACTGTTCTGTGCTGTTTACTGCTTTCAGTCACTGCTCCAGTGACTCCAAGCTCTCTCACCTGAACAGCAATAATTAGTTTGGTGCCCACAATGACGTAGGTACCACTTTTGTTTTTCCCTGTCTGCAAAGAATGTAGGTACTTTTGTTTTTCCCTGTCTGCAAAGAACTTGTTGGGCTGGTCACAGTAGCATCAGTCAGTGTAACTCTTCACAATCAGCTTTTGCTTTTATTGCCCCATAACCTTTGTCACCTTGTCACTCTCTTTCCTAGTAACTCATTTACCAATTCTGAGTAACAGAGACCTCTCTGGTACTTAGTGCAAACACATGTACACACAGAGTCTCTCAGTGCAGCCTTGGGTGAGCAGAGCAAGGGTAGGAAAAGCAGAGCTGTAAGACCTTCCCCAAGAAGGCAGGCTTGTTCCAGGGCACTGTAACACCAGGAACCATGAGCTTATTGACTGTATCCTCTGTAAAACCCAGGTGCCAGTACTAGAAGAAAGTCTTTGGTACTTAAACCTGGGGACTATCAGATGTTCTAGCCCTACCTAAAGAGAAAAGTAACAGAACAGTTTCACAACTCTCATACTTGCTGCAGACTTTGAAGTGAGCTTCTCCCCACAAAACATCTCTATTTAGACACTGCAGATACGGCAAAGTCATGAAAAAACTCGCCTCACTCACACCCCCCTGGAGTGCTTAGGAACCATCAACCACCACCAGCTGGGTTTTTGCAGAAGACATGGGGAAATGCAAACCTAGGCAACCCACTTTGCACCTTGAGGCTGCTTACCTTGGTTATACTGACCTTCCTTGTTAACAATGTGCCAGTCCAGCCCCCTGCCCAGTCCTTGCCACACTCTGAAGGCAGGAACACTCCTCTGCTTGGAGCAAATGGTTGAAAATCTGGAGGCTTGATTTTATGGACGAAGCAGATTTATTTGCTTTAGATAGGGCAGCCAGCCACCAGCTAAACTAAATCAAAGCTACGGCAGCAGTGAGGGTTATTTTTCTCTCTGCTGTTGTTCAAATGTGCCTCTCTTGACTTTGCCACCAGCACTGCCCAAGAAGGAAAACACCCCTAACAAGTGCCAAACCCTGGCAAGCACTAGGGGAACACGAGATACTGCTGCCATTTAAAGCAAGAGAATTCATCCATATTTGGGGATGGCAATTTTATTGCATAGGCATTAAGGAGAAAGCAGAGTGAGCAGCCCTGGACAGTCTCTCAACACTGATACACAGACAAGTGTGATGGCAAAGCACAGGGAATCTAAAGAGCTCCTGGGTTCCCTCTGCCACTAACTAGGCTATTGAATGTCTGACAAATGTGCTTTCTAGCTGTAATATAAATACTTTAGTTACAAATCGGCTACAAAACAGACACCTCTGTAAACCCTTGCCTTCCACTTCAATGTGAAAGGCAAAGGCAAACAGCATCCTTACAGCCTTCACAGGGGCCTTTCTATTTGTACTACCCATATGTCTGAAACATAATACAGGGAGACTTACTCCATTACCAAGACAAAAAGTGCAGCAACAAAAAACCTGCAGTTGACACACAAGGCTTGTTTGAATTTCACCAGGCAAAGCATCAGTCTCAAGTAACTCTGACCATGAAAACTTCCTTGAGTTTAAACCAGTGATCTTCACATCATGAACACAGTGAATGTTGTACTCACATTGCAACACCCGACATCATTAGGGGATAAAAGTCCACATTACTCTTACACATGTAAAAATATCAGATTACAAAACATAACCTTCATTTTATTATTATTATTGAGGTACAGAGTATGTTTCCCAACCTGAGAGGGACTAGTGACATTGCCAAGTCTAAAGCATCACAATGCTGACCTCACACTGACAAGTCTCCACATGGAGACTATTTATTTATGCATCAAAATATTCAGTTTCAAAGCTTTAAAAAGCAAAGCTCCAGAGCTGGGCTGAAGCAAGGTTTTCTGACTTGCAGTCCCAAGTTGGGAAGATGACCCTGTAAGAGAATGTGTTGCAGTAATTCAACACCATTGTGTGTTCACAGCACTAAAGAAAGGTGATGGCAACGCATTATAGGTTGTAAGTCATTTGACAATATACACTTTATTCTGATACAAAATTGAAGTGTTTTAACAAATCTCAATCCATTATGGACTATACTGAAATTTTTTAATTTCCATGCAATTTTAACTTGTTTAACCACAAGTTCTATGATTCCAGCACACTAGCACCATTGCTGTTGAAGTCTTTGCCAGGTATTATACCATATTATTCTGTTTCCAATCTTGCAATATTATCTTCTACATGTAGGCCATTTTTTCTTCTACGGAGATACTTGGATTACGTTAGTTCAGGAAAAAGCTAACAGATAGAGATGTCAACCTGTAGCACCCACAGCAGAAAAAGAATCACCCATCAGATATCTGAATTTCAGTGATACTCGAGATCTCACATGCTCCAACACAATTCAAGATACAAACACTTGTCAGAGACCACAGACGGATATGTAAGTGGATATTCCACTGCAGTGTAGACAATGTATGAAAACATGTTAATGTTTTAAACACAGGAACCAAAGACAGCACATCAGTACAGCACACAATCAATACTTGAAAGACTTGGAGCCTTAAGTACTGAAAGGATATAAAAGATGCTTTAATTTCGGTGTTCTGTAATAACCACATATCACATCTGCACCAACCTGGGCTCTTTTTGGGGAAACCCTTTTTACTACCTGGAAAGTAGCAAATATTTTTGTTATCAAATAAACTTCTGTACAACTGCAGCTCAGGGACCAATGCTTTGTTGACTTTGCATCTTTACACCTCCATTTACAGCTGCTCTTTTTCAGTAACGAAAAACATGGCCATGAAACAATATTCTTAACTCTTGGAAGTGCCTCTTGAACGATGATACACTTGACCAATTACCCCTTAAGACTGTGTTTGTCTTTGACAAGGTTATTTCTGAACAAATTGGTGTATGCATAATTGAGTTGAAGCAAATTAGTCTAACAAGAGTGTTACAAATCAAAGGGTGAAAATAATTCTAGCAGTGACTATCTAGTTCTAGATGTGGTACAAAAGGATTCCTCCAGAGCACAGAACAAGTCTGCAGCAATGTGGAATCCTCTCATGTTAAGGAAAGGTAGAACTTTGCTCTATAGCAGGTCTAGTAGCAGAATGCAAACTAGAAAAGATTTCGTTAAAAATTACCTTTGTTAAAACATTTTCAAGATTTCGCTGTAAAAAAACCCTAAGATCCTCCCCAAGTACAACAGCACTTGCCTTCATCTGAGTAATGAGATGAAACAAAGCTGTTCCCCATTACCTGCTGCTACACAGATGCCTGGGGGAGCTCTGCCTAGCAGAGGAAAGCAAAGGTTTTCTACTTCTAGGTGTAAGACAGCAAGCTTGTTCCCTCAGCACCAGCTGTCTGGCATACTGCACTACAGAGACTGTGACTGTAGTGCTACAGTTCCAAGTTTTGGCTTAACCTTGGCTAAGCAACAACTTTTGGCAATGTGTTTTAAAAAAATACGTAGTAATTGTGAGACTTCCAGTAAGTAGCTCTTTATTATATCAAAATCTCAACATTACTGTAGAATACTTCCAAATTAACTTTTAAACCTGCATTCCAAAGTCCTAAGTTGCTTTCTGGAAGTTTACAGACAGCAGGTAGCAAGATTAAATACTTGAATCAGTCTGTTAACTGCCTCAGCCTCGATAAACTGAAATGCACAGGTTACATTTGACTATTTTCTGAGGAACTGAACTGTAACAAACACTAAGGTAGAAACTGACTTCATAAAAATAATACACAGGCTCAAAAACCTATTAGGAAGTTTGAATAGATGCTGGACTATCAAAAAGGAGTTAAAAATATCCCAGACCTCTAACAATCAAAGATGCAAAGAAAATAGTACATGTTCCAAGAGTTAAGAACCAATGTGCATAAAAGCAGATTCCACGAGAAATTTTTATTGCCATTCATCTGTTTAAATGCCCTTGTGCTTTCTCAGCTAGTATCACATGACAGTATTGGCCTCCACTAAATACCCCTTCCTGAATCTGAAAGCAGCCCTTTGGTTTGTACAAGGAAATACAAGCCCATCTGGCAAACCAAGGTGCACTCACTGGGAGGGAAATCACTGCTCTCCCCAGTGCCAAGTGCCCTTTGCAGCAGCAGCAGTGGGTCACGCACTGCTGACAACTGAGCAACTGCTTCAGTGTCTTCACCCTGCTGAGCTTCTGCAGGGCTCCCCTTTCTAGGACAAGGCAACAACCAAATCCTCCCCCCCACCCCCAGCACACTCCCCACAGTAACTGCAGCACACAGTTCAAAACATTTATCTTGTTGATCTCAGATACAACAATTTTTTATCTGCCAGGAACCTAAGGTTCTCAAATTGGAATAATACCAGCAAGCAACCCTCATCCAGAACAGGAAACACTGGATGACATGCTGGAGTATTTCTGTAGTATTTACGGCTTCCCTCGATATTGAGAGGCTGGCAAAGCAAAGCCTAGAAGGAAGTAAGGGTTAAACAGATGTTTTACTATACACTACAAATCTTACCCAGTCAGAAACCTTCAATTGAAGAGGATGTGCAAGACATTCCCCATTTTGTCAAGCAGCAGCTTCTCATTCAACCTGTAAATTAAAGAAATTACTCTTACCTTGTTTAACAACCTCCCACTACTCTTTATAATTCATGAAAAATTTTAAAGGCAAACCTTACCTATGCTCATTGCCCTTCCTTTCAGGTCTAAATGCTAGACCTATTGATTTTGTGTCAACTCAAGTAGCTATCACTCAAGGAGGTTCCAAAAGGTGAAGAACTCTTGCTAGACTTTCTTCGATATTTCAGCTGTGATAAGCAGATTTAACTAGCCTTGGGAAAGCTGCTCACTATCAGCACAGTATCTTATGCCTTCACTTTTCTGGAAGTTGAAGCTGTTGCTCCTGCTGCCTTGTCATTCTTTAATTAGGCTGACTTCTCCATACTCAATAGGCTGCTGAAGTCCTGTCTTACGAGTCTCCTTAGCAATGTATGGTTCTGTAAAGCTGGTGAATGACTGTCCTCAGGGCTTACACTTTTCCAGGTCACAAACAACAGCTAAGCTACCCCACCCACCTACAAAGCCGTCACTTACATCCGTCTCTTAAAAGGTTGCATACAGATCTTGTTCATAAAGTTTATTATGACACTATTTTTCAAAGTTAACATTGTTGTCACAGTACAGCTACAAGAGGCCCTGTTAAAAAGAACACTGTCAATACATTCTAAAAAAATTTAGAAATACCAGATCAATTGTCAGAAGGGACATCAACCCCAGCCTCCAGTTGTCCCTGCAACCAACCAGATGCAGGCCCCACGTGCAAGTCTACACATCTTCTAAGCGTAGTAATGTACAAAGCAAGTCGGTGTCTCACTCCCTAGTGAGTTGTGGTTTAGTTCCCAATGTTTTCAAACTCCAAATGGGTTGTTTACAAAATGCCTTTATTGAAGAACAGCCTCCCCCCCACCCCAAGCCCAAATGAATATGTACAACAACAGAAGCGTTCACTAAATCACCAATTCTTGCTTTAACTTTTGAAATCTTTTAAAGAAGCGTTCACTATATCACCAATTCTTGCTTTAACTTTTGAAATCTTTTAAAACTCCACAGAATAAGAAGCAGACTTCGAAATCCATTTTGGAGGCTACCATATTGACACCAATTCCTTGGTTTAGTATACTGCAGTCTAAATACACTCCAATAACAGTGTTTAAATAACATTGTTTAATTCTTTTTTTTTCAAACAACACACTCATTTTTCTACCACTTCTTAAAAGTTAAAATCCATTATTAATGACTGATTATGCCTTGAGCCATTTCACACATCTTTGCAGATTCATTCCTACACTGGAATTGCATTTACCTTATACTGCACATTGACCCAGAAGTGAAACAGGTGTGAGTAATTCCAATACACATTGCCAAGTGTCTGAGTATTTCTTTTATTGACTGGGTCCCTACTCTTCTGAGTCTGAATTGACAGCAAGCACTGGCCTGGCAATAGTCACGAGAATTCACATCAGATGAGGGAAGGACAGACTGCAGTGCCTTAATTTGGAGGTCAGAAGTGAGAATGAAGTACAATTTCTAGCCATATGTGCTGATAAGATTTGCTACTCCAGTGCACCAAATCCAGTTGTAACACACTATCACTCTACCTGTGGAAACTCGAGACTGTATCGCTCTATATTGTGGGAAGTGTTTCTAGTCAGTAAAATACAACTAGATTGTGTTTTATCTTTGAGATCTTAGCTGAGCACAAACATTTGCAAGGCAAACAGCTTGAGAACTAGACTACTAGCCCATGGCAAATGGGCTTTTGGAACGCATTACCTGGGACTGTCAGTGATTACACCTGCGCTACCCTTGGCTCCCAGTCAGAAGAATGTGTCCAGAAAATTGCCTAGGGTGCATGCAAGAAAGTATATAGCCATTAAATTATTGAGGAACATACCTATTACTCTCACTACAACACCTCGTTTAATTGAAACAGCGCAGTCTGGTGCGAGGGGAGAAGGAAACGGGGACAAAGGAAGGGTATGAAAATTCCAAGCCACCCTCCCCAAAGTATAGTTTTATTGAAACAGAATCATTATATATCCCAAGGAAACAGGCACTTGATTCCCCCCACCTTAACTTCTCGGGTATTACAATAAAGGTAAAAAGCAAGTTTTTTTTTCTCTTCACCCAAGACTTAAGCAAACTGCAGTTATCCCTTACGCATCTCAAATGAGACGGTTGACAGCTTTTCATGTGTCTAAAGTTGGTCTTGTTAAAATATTGATCATGCCTTATTTTCTTGAAGCACTAGTACTAATACAGAACTACAAATTAAAAAATTATGCACAAACCAAAAAGTAATTTGAAATTTTCATTAAGGTAAAGCTTAGTTCTATAATTCACAAACACTAATTTGAGTAACTCAATCCTAGTTATACATCTAAACAAACTATAACGCAACATACAGATGTCTTCCCTCTGTATGCCTATGTAACTCATGTCAATGACAGTTACATATATACACTGAGACTAGACCCCTTAAGACTGCAAATCAATAGGTGTTTCTATTGTTAACTTTAAATTAATACAAAATAGTAATGGAGAAATGCATTAATCTTCTCTATTAACTAACAAGGAAACACCCTAAACTACATTTTATTTCTGTTATAGAGTTCTCTGTACTAAATGTGGAAAAACTGAACTACACAAATATTGAAAAGTTAAAAATTCCTTAATTTGTTTATTCCTGGTACCACTACCACAATTTACAGGGCAATATACCTGATGTAATGGGAAAATAAAAAGAAAAAAGAAAGACAAAGCTACAACAGAGAAAGACCTCAGGAATGTACATCTAATCGACACTACATTGCATTAATCAATAGCTGCACTTTTTGCAAACTGTGGCTATGACAGTCCTGAACAAGAAGGGTTTCCTGTTTAAGCTGCAGTAACTTTTCTGACTATGGATCATCGTTCCTTCTGTGGCAGATTTTACAGTTCCTCTAATGCATTTGGGACGACTGTCTCAAAGTAACCTGCAGCTTTCCTGACAACTCCTCGCTCTCTCTCCTGCTAAGAACTGTAGCCTGTTGAATACAGGATAAGAAAATTATTACTCTCAGTGAACAGTTGTACATTATTAATCATCATTATAAATATGCATTACACCTACCCTTTTTCTGGTAGCATTTTTAGAATCTTCTACCACCATAGCCCCCACTTCCACTTCCAGATCCATAACCACCTACAAAACACACAATGTGAATTGGAATACAAGAACAACAAGGAATTTTAACTCAAAAAACACTTTCTGTGCAAAATCATACTTACCACCATAGGGACTGCCTGAACTTCTGCCCCCAAAGCTGCCACCACCTTTCATGGGACCATAGTTAGACTGCTGTTGTCCACTGTAATTGCCAAAATCATTGTAGTTTCCACTTCCACCATAATTACCTGAAACAAACACAGATTTATAAAGCCATGTTTGTTCAGCACTTAGAACATGCAGCTTGCCAAATTACGACAGAATTTTTTTCGGAGTTGGAATGGACCTTACAGAGCATCTAGTCCCAACCCCCTGCCATGGGCACGGACAACCTCCCACTGGAGCAGGGTGCTCAAGGCCTCATCCAGCCTGGCTTTGAACACTGCCAGGGTTGGGGCAGCCACGACCTCCCTGGGCAACCTGTGCCAGTGTCTCACCACCACTTTTTCCTAATATCTAGCCTCAATTTCCCCTCCTTACATCCAATTTAAAAGTAAACTGTAATAGTTTAAAACAATTTAAAATGAAGTTCAAGCATTTCTCATGTTACCTCTCTGCACAACACACAAGTGACAGAAAACACTTAGCATTTTTAAGCTTAGAAATTGGTATTTCATCAAAGATGAAAAACATGACATGACATTAGAAAACTTATAGAGATTTGAGTAAGAAGTTTGATGTTAACACAACAGGCCAAGTTTAAGGCCCCTAAGTCACAAAAGCACGAGTTTCACCATGGCTCTTCCACTCACAGCCCAATGCTCTGCATGTATAACAAGAATGCAAATGACATACAATTTATGTGCCCCTGTGACAGGACTGTAACAGGCTCACTGCATACATACACAAAGCATAACAAAGTATGCAGTGGCTTTTGCTGCTTAACTCCCCAAATCTGGGGCAAACCATAAAAAAAGCTTATAAAAACTTAAGACTGATAGTCCTCACAAAGGAGAATGTGATCTTCATGATGTGAACTGGTATCTGAGGGCAACAGCACATTTGAAATAGTCAAAGTCTTTAAAATTCTTGTCCTCTACCTCCATACAGATTTACAGCTGATGCTTTTTGAAAAACACATTCCAAGCAAAACAATATTGTAGTGTATCAAAACTGATCCACAAGGGAAAGAACTTTCCTTACACAATGTGGCATTCCATATTAAAACTCAATAGTACAAGTCATTTTACACAGAATCATATTTCACACATTGCAAATGAGACCTGACTAAAAACCATGGATGTCTAATTAAAGTTGGCATCTTACCACCACCAAAATTTCCTCCTTCATTGTAGCCATCATATCCTCCTCCTCCACCTCCATATCCACCCCCTGGGTTTCCATATCCTGGTCCTCCACCACCACCATAACCTCCTCTGCTGCCATAGCCAGGACCACCTCCATAGTTGCCACCTTTGAATAAAAGAGTTGTCAAACTAAACATACCAAAGCTACATACTGGTAAGGAAAGATGCAGTTAACAAAATACCCCAAACCAACGAAATTGCACATAAAGTCCCCCAGTTTTTTCCCTTTATCATATTCATTGTGGTTGCATCATTTATCTAAACTATTTAACTGATAAAAGCCCCATGCTTACAGAATCAGGACCTAAGTAATTACATGCTACTTCCCTCATCCCTTTCTGCCTTTTGATAACTGCCTTTTTTAGCCTTTTAGTAATTTCCACAGTTCTCTTCAGATGCATTTTGGATATCCATCCAAATTTCAGCACGAAAAAGATGCTACTGAGACATGAAAATTGTTAAAGCTGACTGAAAATACTCCTGGTATTACTTCTGAGAGAGATGGTCACTGCTTTGGTTCAGTTTTAGTCATCTCAACTGACACCAGAATCTGTTCAGTTCTCAACAATCATGAACAGTTGCCTCAGGACCTCAGAACGAGAGATTATTTAAAGGGTAAATACAGAGGAGCATTTTTTCCTACCCATAGTTTTGCAAGGAAAACAAAAACTCACTAACTCTTCACAGCTCTACAAAGTTCAAACACTATCACCAAAGCAGACTTCATTTCCAAGGCGAAGGCAAGACTTACAGCCAGATGTAACATTGTGGGGAAAAAGAAGTGAACAATACACTTACCATCACCAAATCCATTGTATCCGTCACCACCCCCAAAGCTTCCTCTGCTCCCACCACCGCCACCACCACCCCCATAGCCTCCTAGAACACAAAACAGATGAGAATGTTTTCCTCAACACACATGTTAAGTGTTTAAACCAACTGACATAGGAAATAAAACCAACAGAAATCACATTCTATGGAAATATTTCAGCCATTTACCTCTTCCACCGAAGTTCCCTCCTCGGCCAAAGTTCCCTCCACCACCTCCGAAGTTTCCACGGCCCATGAAATTGCCTGAGCCACCCCCACGACCTGCAAAATATTTCACTTAAATTACATTAATTGAAAACCCATTACACAAAATAACCATGCACAACTACAACTCACCTCTCTGAGAGCTAGCAGTCTGCATCTCTTGTTTTGAGAGTGCTTTTTTCACTTCGCAGTTATGTCCATTTATAGTATGGTATTTCTGAACTACAGAAAATTGTGAAGTAAGAAAGTTAGAAAATCAGGTAACAGCAATATGCCGCAAAATTCTCACAACCACACTTTAAAAAAACCACTGAATTGACCCCACCTCTTACAATAGTAAAGAGGTTCATTGTGCAAACATCTCATTCCACACACTGCTGTTCTGAAATCTTGCATCAACATTTTTATCTAAGAAATTTCTCACAAAAGAGTTACCTACCAACAATTTTATCAACTGTGTCATGATCATCAAAAGTCACAAAAGCAAAGCCTCTTTTCTTCCCACTCTGCCTGTCCTCCATGACTTCTATGGTTTCAATCTTGCCGTATTTTTCAAAGTACTCTCTTAAATTATATTCTTCTGTATCTTCTTTAATTCCACCAACGAATATTTTCTTTACTGTGAGATGTGCCCCAGGCTTTACAGAATCCTGAACACCAAAAATGACATTCAGTGCTTTAAATTACTAGGTAAAGATTAGAAAATGCAGCTAACTGAAACACTAACTTACCTCCCTCGAAACTGCTCTCTTTGGTTCAACCACGCGTCCATCAACCTTATGTGGCCGAGCGCTCATGGCAGCATCCACCTCCTCCACGCAGGAGTAAGTCACAAAGCCGAAGCCTCTGGAACGTTTGGTCTGTGGGTCTCTCATCACCTGCAAAAACACGAGATGTGCTCTGCATCTCTGTGCCTGATTAAATACCTCAATCCTTTCAAAAAGAACAAAGCAGTATTAGACTTTACCACACAGTCCGTGAGTGTGCCCCATTTTTCAAAGTGCTCTCTCAAGCTATCATCTGTTGTTTCAAAGCTCAGACCTCCAATGAAGAGCTTCCTCAACTGCTCTGGCTCCTTTGGCTCATGGCCCTACAAAACCAAAAAGCAAAACCATGTTTTCAATACAGAGTTAAAATTTCACTTAATTACTAAAAATTATCTGTGCACATTATAACTACAAATAGATGAATATGTTTACATAAAAACAATGACTTCTAATGAGTTTAGACAGTAGCATAGTAAACACTTAATGAGGTGCACTTTTAATTAAAACACTAACTAAGGACTTAAAGGGTGCTCAAATGCAAACAGTAAAGAGATCTGAATGGACCAAATAACTTGGTTACTCCCCACCCCTGGAAGTGCATTCATGCCATGACTTGCAGATTGCTCTGTAGCAACTAGTGATGAAGCACTGTCATAGATAAAGGGAAGTTCTAACACTTTATGAAGCATAATCATGAGAAATTATAAACAAATTAAGGACACAGTTTACGAGAAAAAAAGGTTATTGTTCAAACTGAGGGGATATCCATTCTGAAAGATTATTTTTACACATTTTGAAGAAATGTATCAATGCTTAATTCCTTAACATTGTATATGTTGTACTTGGCTATTTTCTCCTTGGAGTACAGGTCAGAGAGGAAGTACAAGTACACGTGTGGCTTTCAGTGTTATGGGAAACACCTCCCAAATGTTAATCAGCAGGGACTTAGGTCTTACAGATAAACAAGAGCCTTGAATACAACTCATCAATGGCCAGTGCTGGTACAACTACTGGAGTAAGACTGGTAACTTAAGCTACATAGCACAAGCGAGTTTTACTGACGTTCCTGACAGCATTGCCTAATATATGACCAGTCACATTTAAAAACGTTCCAATTCTCAGTGCTCAATTTTCTGTAACATGATTAAAGTGGACTTACAAGTACAAATGTGTTTCAGTTCTCTTGCAGTGCTGCATTTCTTTAGCAGGCAGGGAATTCCCCCCTACCTTTGACAGTTTACAAAAAAATGATTTTACAACTCGCTCCCACTCCTGAGACAGAGAAGTCTTCAAAAAAAGCAACCAGATGAAAATCTTACAGCAAGCAGGTACTTCTGTGCATGTAAAACACTCCACAAGAAGGTGTTGGCCAGCTGTGCTGTGTATGACTCGAGCTCTGCAGCATGAATGCGCAACAGACTTCACTGTCTGTGCTGCAGTGGTTAACTGAGATGCAGCATCACCATGAGAAGTGAACTGCACAATCCAACCACATGTAGACAACTTGCTTCAAACCTGAAGTGCTTTAACCATGGTTTAAATAGCAGGGGGTGGTGCTAGGCTTGGCCAGGAAAGTGTACATACATCCCTTTGAGTGAGGCTGTATGTTGTACTTTAGCAAATCATTGGTTCAGGCTGTACTACAGGAAACACCACCTAAGGTTATCTGAAGCTGGCTGGGAATGAAATCCCTGCCCTTATACCCACTGAACTTTGTGAGAAAGAGCCCCAGCATTCTCAGTAATAACCTTCTATTTATGGCTCTAACTTTGCTACTGCAGGAGCATTATGTAAGTGATTAAGTCAGTAGTCCTATGACTACAAAGTAAAGCTTCTTTTCTACTGTCTTCCAAGTGGTCTGGACTTCAGAATAAAAAAAAATAATCTTCCTTCTAACTACACATAAACTTCAAATCTTTAATAGGGTAACACACCTACTGCACACAGAAACTGCTTTAGCCCAATTGTTATCTGTTGCTTATTACCTACTGGCACTAATTTTTAGCTGGTTATGTTAAAATTTGGAATATGAAGTGTTTCAAACTCTCCTACACATGCTAAAGGAAATTTATCATGTGAAACTGTGGAGTTTAGACTCATCCAACACCGAACATCTATGTAAAGAAAAACTGAACATGCTTTTGACAGTTCTCTGACATCCCTCAAGCTATGAGGGTTTTCAGTGAACAGCTCAAGACTGCTTTTACCTTAAAAGAATGACCACAGACCTTTTCAGATCACTCCTGAAAGGAAAAGTGAAGTCCTTTTCGGCTTATTATTTATCATGTGTACATGAACTACCATTTTCATACAGGAAGAGAAACACCTCGTTACAGCTTCTCTTCCATCAGAGGGAAGTTATCCTCAGGACACATCTATGTTATAGGAACTAAACACAGAAATAAAAGGCACACTTTCTTAGGGAACTAGTTGTTTCTTCAGGCAGTTTGTTCTCCCTGGTGCCAAGCATCTCTAGCGTTTTCAGAGTGCTGCCTCGCATCACACAAAATGCTGTTTGTCAGTAACTCTGCTTCAAGTCATTTATAGCAGCAGTCTCTCTCCTGGACACCAAACCCTGTGCAACACATCTCTCCCTTCCTCCTCAGTACAACCACCAAACTGTTGCCACAAACGCAGCAGGCTGCCTCCTACTCCGCCGACGCTGCAGGTCACTCCGCCATTTCGCAGCGCTCCCCGGCTGGGGGCGGGGAGGGTGTCTGTGCCCAGCTGCCTCCAGCCAGCCAGCTGGCGACGCGCTTTGTTCCTCCCCCTGAGCTGATTAGGGGCCTTCCAAAGAGACCAACGGGCTCCGAAGAGGCGGGGAATGCTCCTTCCAGCCCTGGCTTCTCAATCCCTCCCCGGAGCCAAAGCTCTACGCAGCTCCGGCCGCCTCCATTTTGTGAGCGACCACGTCT